ACACTGGCAAAGTATTGAATGTAATCTGGACATTATATGGTTACTTAATTGAAATCTGAAAATTGTATAATTAATGAAATAAATTAGCAGCTGAGCTCTCTATCAACAGGGGGAGGGGATAGCATTAAGTTTGAGATTTTAATTTGATCTTCCACTGATTTGACATCTCACTTAACTTTTGAGCTTTTGTAACATTTCTTTAAAAGTATTTTATTTCATTTTAAAGGTTTAACCCTATTGATTTAAAAAAAGCTTAATCCAATTTGAATACCAGCACAGCTAATGATTAATTTATGTAATGGCAACACAAAAGGTCCACTTTACCCCACACTATTCTACATTGTCAAGACTTATTGATACCATTTTTTTGTCAAGTCTTATTGATATTATTTTTGTCAAGTCTTATTGATATTATTTTTTGGTCAAGTCTTATTGATATTATTTTTTGGTCAAGCCCTATATCAATTTTTGTCTAATCATAAAAAAGCTCACAACTTCATCTTAATCACTGAATTTATCATTTAACTTCTCTGTGTTTAGTTCAACAGTGGTCTAACAATTTAGTTATAGATGTCATTAGTTGGAAGGCTATGGTGAGATACTATAGATGTCATTAGTGGGAAGGCTATGGTGAGATATTGATAAATACAGAATGAAAGAAAACAGTTGATCTAGTAAATCCAGGACGTTATGGGACCCCATCTGCTCCATGTGGCTGTGTAATATTGAGAAAGTTTATTTTTGGTTGGAGGTTGGCCTACATGGTAGGTTGGGAGGTTGGCCTACATGGGAGGTTGGGAGGTTGGCCTACATGGGAGGTTGGCCTACATGATTGGTTGGAGGTTGGCCTACATTGCTGCTGCTCCAAATATCCAGTGAATGGCATGCATAGCAAACTGAAGCACCATTAGCAGGTTGTGATAGACTTAAAAAACAAACAGGTATATATAAATAGAACCTGTACATAAAGAAGGTAATTCATGAATGTAAATAGAATTGCTTGCTGCACTTAAATACGGGTGAAGGGGAGAAGGAAGATGCAAGAAAATTGTTTGAAAGTGTTTTATACATGTCAGCACCCAAATGTAACTATGATAATTACTGGGGGGTAATGCACCATGGAACCACCCCAATACTGGGGGATAATGCACCATGGAACCACCCCAATACTGGGGGGTAGTGCACCATGGAACCACCCCAATACTTGGGGGTAATGCACCATGGAACCACCCCAATACTTGGGCGTCAGATTTTAGCTTGCTTTGTGGTTTCAGTCAGGCCTACTTCAAAAAGTGTAAAGTAACCCTAACCCTAACCCTAACCCTAGGATAGTTGTGCTAATCTTGTATGGATAAGTTTTGCCAATGTTTAAAGAAAAACTGTTGAGAGATTCAGCTGAGGACAATGCATGCACGTCATTAGCTGCACAACTGTTGATTACACATTTTAATTACTTTAAACAGAATATATGTTTTCATGTTATGATAAAAATGTAGTGAAATGTTTATAATATTGTAGTATATAATAAAAATTCAGAAGTAAAGAGAAACATAATTTGAGCTATGCTTTAAAAATGTGCAGTAGAAAATCTACTTGTGCAGAAAGGAAAAATGTTTTGAGGAGCAATCAATCACCTCCCCACTGTTGATAATTTTTGCTAATTTGTAGGTTAATTTGTTAAAATCAAATTAGATTCCACTTTTAAAGATATTTTTTTTATAAAGGATGTAAAATAAATGTTTTTTAAATTAAAATATTTTTGTCATCACTGCTAATGTAGAAGAAGATATTTAGTGAATGGCTCGCTCCTAGGTTTAGTTTGTGAAATATTCAAGTCAACTTTAAGGTACATGGTACTAAATAAAACACTGGACATTACAGCAAAATATTTCAAGTCAGATTGGCAAAAAATCAATTAGATGTGATCTACATTTGTAATGTACAACAATGTTCAGTTTAAAAAATAAACAAAAGTTTAAGGAAAATTACATGAAAGTTTAGAACAGTACTCAGTTTTGTACCTCAGTGTTGCTTTTTAAAATTAGTAAATGAATAGGGTATTCTTAGTGGTAACCCAAAAGAAATGTTCTTTCAACAAGAATAAAATTCTGTAGTATTGTACAAGTTTCCTTTATATTCTAAAAATACAGATGTAACCTTGACCTTGGGCAGACTGTGTTCAGCCAGGCAGCAGGGAGTGAGCTATGCTATATCGCGCTGACAAGAAACGAATACAGCGTCCACAGTCTCAACTTCCCCCAGCCAGTCCATGAGTTACCCCCCCTCTGCTACCCAGCTGCCACAGTCCACATTGGCCAAGGTCTCAGGTATTTTTTTCAAGAGAATTTTTAATTGACCAGTACCATAACACTTCATTATTGAAACCTTCAACATTCACTAATGAGGTGGTCAGTGTTGAACCTTCAACATTCACTATTGAGGTGGCCATTATTGAACCTTCAACATTCAATATTGAGGTGGCCATTATTGAACCTTCAACATTCACTATTGAGGTGGCCATTATTGAACCTTCAACATTCACTATTGAGGTGGCCATTATTGAACCTTCAACATTCACTATTGAGGTGGCCATTATTCAACCTTCAACATTCACTATTGAGGTGGCCATTATTCAACCTTCAACATTCACTATTGTGGTGGCGTTTACTTAGGCTACTACACTGACAGTATTAATATGAGATGAGCTAACGTGTGAAAGAAAATGTTCCCAGTTATGAAATATTTCTTGCAATCTGTATTGATTACAAACTAGAAGTTGAAACCTCAAACAAAAATGTTAGCAATAAAAAAAGTTTCCCCATATACATAAATTCTACAGATAGTGCCATGGTGGGGAACATTGGACCAAATTGTACACAGCATTAAAACCCCAACAACATTTACATGATAGCAGAGAAAGTTTCAAACAAGGTATTTACACATTTCCTTCATGGCAACTAGACCAAAGTTCAAATTTAAAATAAAGCAGCATGACAAAATAGCAAAACTGATGACAAAGAGCGCTAAATAAAAAGTGGATGAATGCACATTTGAACAAATCAATATGACTTGTGAACCACACAGAGAAGTAGCCATTGATACTAGCAATAATTACTAATGTATGCGCATTCCCATAATGTAACATACAGAGAAAAAAATCACAAGTTAGATTAACACTGAAAACGACAAAATTTAACACAGAATATAATGAGCTTTCTCTGGAGTTGTCATGATCTTGAACTTGATTTCAACATTTCTTCTTTTGGTTAAGAAACCTATGTCAACTAATGCTGTGACTTTAAAAAATATTCAAATGGTGCATCATATAAACTCATAAGGACAAAATGTGTTGATATGTGTTTCATAGCCAGGATCAGAAGAATGGGTGAAATCTGAGCAAGTTTAACGTCATGAAAACCTCGGAGAATGCTCGTGCCCTCCTTTGCAACTCGTCCTGTCTCAGAATTGTGTCATAAATTATAGAAATGGCTAAAACTAGTGTCTAAAATTGTATGCAACATCTTCCCAGCCTGACAGGTGAATGATAGAGGGGATCTCTGCTGCCTGCTGGAGGCAAGGGGAGATGCCTCATGTCATCCAGCCTGGGCTGTAAGAGTTAACTTCCCTTTGCTAGCTGTGGAGAAATTGGAAGCCATCATGTCATCAACTGGCTAGGGGAAATTGAGACATGACGCTGTCAGACCGTTCTTGTCATCGCGGAGCATGATCATGATGGCGTGGCTAATCTCTCCACAGCTAACAGTTTAAATACCTTATATTCTTCCACATCAATCACTAGCTGATCGTTTGATGACTGAATTTGTCTTCATGACAAAGTCCAAAAGCTTGTAACGCTATTTTTTGGACAGCTACTGTCCCCACACTTTTAAAAGCTTGTAACGCTATTTTTTGGACAGCTACTGTCCCCACACTTTTTGTTGAGCACGACTCCAGCTGCTGACTGGGAACTACTTTGAGAAAAATTTGATTAACCTTCTGTGCTTATCACATATGAAATAAAATGCACAACTCTGTTCTACATTAGCTTAGTCTCTCCGACAATGTGAACAAATGCTACAATAAATACACCTGCTGTGGGCTAAACAGGAAACATGTATCACTGTTAATTCAATAAGTACCAAGTCACAAATCAGGACTCTCAAACTTGGAATATCACTTCATAAAAAAAAGACAAAACAAGATCAAACTGAAGGAAAATGATTAAACCAAGTAAAATTCTTAAAGCCATTTCCCCCATACTCTTTATAATATTTCATATGGATTTTTCATATTTCTCACAAAACAATCTTTTTAAAAATATAAATATCAAATGGGGAAAAATAGTTCTAAAATAATTGGTACTCAACACTGTACAACTATTTTACCAGCAAAAATTTCGTACAAAGATGTAGTTCTACTCCTTTTAAATGCTTGCTTTCCTTATAAAATTTATGTAAAATGTATGTAACATTGGGCGCAATATACAAAAAATGTATTTAAAAAAATACAATTCGAAAAAAATCTAGACAGATTTTTAAAAAAGTTTTTACATAACATATGAAAAAAAGATGTTTTTCTTTCTCCTTTTAAAATGAGCACTAGTGTATATTGGATCAGAACTTTAAAACATGAACAAAATTAGAACCAAGTTAAATTAATTAATTAACAAGAGTGCACACACAAAAAACGTGCTAATTGTGGTGTATACAGTTGATAACTTTCAAAACTTCAAATATGCCAGCACCAATTTGTTTAGATGATAAACATTGAACAACCTCCTGGGTCAATAGATTCAGTTTTGTAATGATTAGCACAGTTGTAAACAAATTGATTCATCATTTGCTCATTCTATTTGCACATTAGATAAGCGTTTTAGGCTCATTTAAGTTTTAATTTTTAAAAAAATTTTCTGCACTTTAAAAGTGGTTAAATTTTAAAATTTTCTGCACTTTAAAAGTGGTTAGATTCAAGTTTCAAGAGCTTGGAATTATTATTTTGAGAAAGTTTTCTTCTAAATGTCAAACTTTTGAACTGGTAAATTGAGTGCAGCTGGGTGGTGTAGGCCAGTTGTGAAATGATGACAATTTGTTCAACTTGCTGTAGGCCCTATATCATGGCGGCATCATAGTCATGTACAGTGTATAAATTAACAAATTAATTATGAAATGGACAGACAAAAAAAGATGTTGTTCTTCTCCTTATAGTACAGAATTGCATTGAGATTTGGTTTTCTTTAAAAAAATAATTTTAAAGTAATCTTCCAGTGATAATACCATAGCTTCTGGTACTTTTGTAATTTAATAGCATACAGGACGTTTTGAAAACAGCGCAGATAAAAGCCAGCAAGGGCCAATAACCGGTTAATAAATAGAACGAGAAGACCTTGTAGTCGACAAATTGTAGTGACACACGGCACGCATGGCGGGCTACCTTACACGCTCGCTAGATGGCGCTACCTTACACGCTCGCTAGATGGCGCTACCTTACACGCTGATACGTTACTAGGAATTAATTATTTTTTTTTAAAGTTGTAAATGGAGATTTTATGGTTTGTTTTGGACTATCATGCCGTAAAGATTTGACTTGACCAAAATGTGGTGCTTCTAAATTGAGTGTTTGCCACTTTAATTTGATTAGTTAACTGAAGTTAAAGATTAGGTTTTCCATTTGATCGAGCTTTGCCTATAATGCCAGCGTGTATCAGCCTTCTGTCATGGTTGCCATGGTAACCGCCGTGTCACTAGTGACGTACTGAAGGTTTTGACAAATCTACGAATTAAGTTTCCAAAACAGCCCTCAAACAATAGTTTATAAATAGCTTAAATTCCATGCTAGTCAGTGGTTCTCAAAGAGTGAGTGTGGGGCGGGTCTTGCATGGACCCTTCAGTCGATGTCAAGCGAAGACTAAGCCAATCGTGAGCCGGCGCTGGGGGTGGGCGTGAAGCTGGGCATCTGCTGGGAGGCGTAGTTCTTGATGTGCTGCAGGCTCAACAGGGAGTTAGCGATCATAGACTCCCTCGGCACGCCGCCCATGTTCAGGTTCCGATCAGGCGCGTCTGATTTCCGTCCGAAGCTGATGGGATCGTAGGGAAAGTAGCGCGGCGACGCCATGGAAGAGATATGGGGTAGGGGGGAACTTAAACTGTTGTGGCTCAGCCCGGGGCTGAAACAGATTCAAACATCCAATTAATCAGGGAAAATAAACGCTGGCTAATTAGCCTAAGGCGTGCACTTTAAAGCTCAGTCGCATAGTTGCGTGACATGGGCGGGTTATCTTTTTATACCGGGGGGGGGGGGGGGCGCTAACCCATTTACGTCATCCTAGCTGCCCCACTGCGTGGAGAGCCGACAAAAGTGCTCATGCATTAATGATAGCTTAGATAATAGTCAGACTTAGCTGTTAATATCAGCCCTCCCAATATTTGTTTCCATGGTTTTCTACATGCTGAATATTGATAACACGAGTTAAATGTTGCCCCAAAGACAGTAATTATTTAACAGACTTAGTTTAATCACTAATTATTGTGATATGTTGTTGCAGATTTTCATTAAGCCCACAACTATTGATGGAGAAATAAGGGAGACAACAAAGAATGCCTTGTCAAAGAATCAATGTATCTGGTTACTTCCCCTAGAGCACAAGCGGAAGATGGTGCCGCCCTGTGGTAAGTCAATTTATTTTTTTTGGTCTGATCTATAGTTGAAACAAACATTAATCTATCATCTTCAATCTGTTAGAACTATGTGATTTTCGATCTTATGGGACCACATGACACATGTGATTGTGGCGCTGTGGGACTATTACCGATTTTTGTCATGTACACCCCGATTTTACCCGAACAGGTCGTTATATGTTGGGTGTCTCCATTTTACCTGTAGTAGTTGGCCGCAGGTAGTGCTATAACTTACCTGTAGTAAAGTGCTATAACTTACCTGTAGAGTTGGGGCCGCAGAAAGTGCTATAACTTACATGTAGAGGTGGGGCCGCGGGTATTACTATAACTTACCTGTAGAGGTGGGGCCGCGGGTAGTACTATAACTTACCTGTAGAGGTGGGGCCGCGGGTAGTACTATAACTTACCTGTAGTGGTAGGGCCGCAGAAAGTGCTATAACTTACCTGTAGTGGTAGGCTGGACCAGAGGAAGAGCTGACGGTATTGGCTGCAAAAGGAGACAATGGCATGAAGGCGGACGATGGTGCACTCCCTTTGCTGCATGAGGTGGCACCACCAGGGTTCATGCTAAGGTCAGAGGGTGTGGACTTATCGGGGAGACGCCCCCCGATGAAGTCACGGTCCACCAAGTCCATTGGCTCCTGTTTGATTGGCCGTGTCATTATCTTGGGTACGTTTTCTTGTGAGTGCTTGGCCATATGACGGGTCAGGTATGTTTCCTGCAAGACCAGGTAATCATGTTTTATATCAGCAGTCTCATTCAACCGTGACACCACACACCTGAACTACACATTTACCACACAGCTGTCACACATTTACCACACAGCTGTCACACATTGACCACACACCTGACGTACACATTTACCACACAGCTGTCACACATTGACCACACACCTGACGTACACATTTACCACACAGCTGTCACACATTGACCACACACCTGACGTACACATTTACCACACAGCTGTCACACATCGACCACACACTTGACCTCTACATTGACCACACACTAGAGATACACCAGACTAATTGCTATCCCTATAATCACTGAGAATGTCGTATATCTAACAAAAAGGTCGACCATCATTAAATAACTTTACCTATTTAAAAAGTAAGCAGATTTTGTCGCTTTAGTCTAAAGCCTTTATAATTTTACCCTTAAGCAGATTTTGTCGCTTTAGTCTAAAGCCTTTATAATTGTACCCTTAAGTAAGCAGCTTTTGTCGCCTTATCTTTAGTAAAATATCCATATAGAAACAAATGGTCATAATAATAGCTATATGTTGACTTGTGTAAACAAATATCTTCTATCTACACTTTCTTAAGTAATGCCACACTTGTTTAGACTTCCAACGTCAAACATACTTGGTAACACACACACATACACACACACTCAAAGGTGACATGGTTGGTACCACACACACATACACACACACAAAGGGGACATACTTGGTAACACAACACATACAAACACACAAAGGTGACTTACTTGCGTGTAAGATTTGCCACATATATGACAAATGTGTGTTTTGAGATGTTTGGTGTCTGAGTGCTTTGGGATATGCTCACGCAGAGATTGCTCATCGGCGTAGCATTTGTAGCAGGAGTTACAGCGGAACGGCTTGTCCGTCATGTGTGAACGTGAGTGAGATTGCAAATTAGACAGCTGGGAGAAGGCCTTGCCGCAGCCTGGGGAGACAAACACGAGATGGCATTCAGATGTCAACACGAGATGGCATTCAGATGTCAACTTGTCATTAGACAAAACTGGGGGACACATTATACGTCTTAATTAAAAGTTGATTATAATTAAAATGTAGGTTACTTGTAAAGATTAAAGACGAGACATCTGACAGATGGGGTTTACACAACTAGATGACATATGACACATGACATTCACAATCAACCCATTGTCAACTGAGGTGCAGTAAATGTAATATTGGTTGGTTAATTAAAGGTTTATCATAATTCCCGAAGAGACTAAAACAAGATATTATCGCCATCAAGATGGTACATGTTCACAGAACATCTCGTCAGTTTTATTTGAAAATCGTGTTTTTGTCTTATTCACTGACAGCCAATACAAAGTTGTTTTTTTTTTTAATGTGGTATGCACAGCTTCAGGTAAAGTAATAAGTTATAGTTGCAGGTAAAATAAAAAGTTATAGTTGCAGGTAAAATAAAAAAGTTACAGCAAGAGAATGTTGGTTAGTTCAAGGTAAACAAAAATTAGAAATGAAGCAAAAGTTGAAGAAGCCAGGTGAAGGAATCAATCAAAAGGTGTAGGAAAAAATGTGATTTAAGCGCCTAGAAAACCCTGAAGTCTCTAGCTGAAATATAACATTAAACTAGGAGGTTAAGAATTCTTGCGGTACGTGTTACATTCAAATGATCCTAGCTGACTTGTTGGTAAGACCTAACCCTAACTGATTCTAGCTGACCTCTACGTGAGTTAGACCTAAGTGACCTCTACGTGAGTTAGACCTAAGTGACCTCTACGTGAGTTAGACCTAAGTGACCTCTACGTGAGTTAGACCTAAGTGATCCTAACTGACCTCTACGTGAGTTAGACCTAACTGACCTCTACGTGAGTTAGACCTAGCTGACCCTAGTTAGATGTGTGTCCGGGGCTGCACGTGACCTAACCCAACTGTCGACTGACAGGCAGACTGACGAACGTGCATACCTACCAGGGTGAGTACACTTGTATGGCCGCTCGCCCGTGTGTAAACGTGTGTGTTGTTGGAGATGGCTGAGCTGGGCGAATTTTTGTACGCAGTCTGCGAAATTAAGGTAACATCTGACTTCTAAGGTAACATCTGACTTCTAAGGTAACATCTGACTTCTAAGGTAACATCTGACTTCTAAGGTAACATCTGACTTCTAAGGTAACATCTGACTTCTAAGGTAACATCTGACTTCTAAGGTAACATCTGACTTCTAAGGTAACATCTGATTTCTAAGGTAACATCTGACTTTTAAGGTAACATCTGACTTTTAAGGTAACATCTGACTTCTAAGGTAACATCTGACTACTAAGGTAACATCTGACTACTAAGGTAACATCTGACTTTTAAGGTAACATCTGACTTTTAAGATAATATCATCAAAATGTAAACAACTTAAGCCTTCGGAAATATTTGCCTATTTTTTTTGTATTGGTAAATAGGTTTAATTCTTTCAAATCTATTTTTTAAACACCTTCTATTTTTTTTTTAATTCTATAAAATCTATTCTATATAGCATTTATTTAAATACAATTCTTTAAGTTTTGGCTATTTTGTTTTAAATCATGCTGAATGATAGGTAGACATGCATTATGTCATGGTATTAAACAAAAAAGTAAAACTCAACAAAGACCTAGGGGGCGCTGACTGTCTTCTACATAGAAACCCTACAACTAAGACTAGAGTTACCATTAATTTCGCTCACTGACTGTACAAAGAAGCGAGTCAAACTACGGACCAACATGTAACACATTGAGAACAAACACTAGCATAGACAGTCCATGTTTGGTTGGGTATAAACACTAGCATAGACAGACCATGTTTGGTTGGGTACAAACACTAGCATAGACAGACCATGGTTGGTTGGTCATTAGCTGAAGTATGGCAGATAGTACAAACATAACTACTACGCTAATACTAAAATCAAACCGTTACTGGTATTCAATAGCAGAAATAGGACAATTCATTATTTATATCCTTTGTCGATTTTAAAATGAATTATTCAAGGGAATGTGCTTTTATAAAAGTACTATGACACTAAGGTGGTAAAAAGTTGTGAAGTCTAAAGTGTCGAATTGTGAGAGTTGGGTTGAAGAGGAGAGAAGTATTGCACACGTCACCAAAGGTACCTACCCATATGCATACACTTGTAAGGTTTTTCCCCTGTATGCGAGCGGTAGTGTTGTTTCAAATGGCTCAGTTGAGAGAATTTCAAAACACAGTCTGCGAAATTAAGTCACATATAAAAGTAGACCGGGACCAAAAGCTGACTACTTTGACGAATATTACAAGGGTATTGCGGCTTTATATCAAGTGAAACGTGTCGGGTATGACAACACTTACTTGGTTGGGTTACTTGAACTATATGCAAGACTTATACAGATCTGTATAATACTATTTATGGGTTACTTGTAAAACTATATACATAATGCAAGACTTGTACAGATCTAGTATAACACCAGTTATATAATGGGTAACTTGAAGTAAAAGCATTACTTGATGGGTTACTTGAAGTAACGTGTACAGGGACTATGTCTACGATACACTGCTGAGTTTATTGTTCCGACAAAACAAAATGAACAAAAATCTGGGAAAACTCCACGCATTGGCCAGGGTGTGCGGGCAGGCTACAGAGAGAGCATTGTTGGCGGGAATTTACTCATCCGTCTGCAGCGTCGGGTGGACGTCAACTATCTACAGGGAGCTATCAACGTCAGCACTTTGCTGTAAACATTTCCATGTAAGCGATAGACAAACGTTGACTAATATTCTCTTCTAATACTGGGGTTTTAGTAGATTCTATATAAGTCTTGCATATTTATTTAAAGGTCGTCTCCTAAACTTCTAGCACGGCTTTTAAAGAATAGGGAAAATAAATTGTAAATTTTATGTATATAAACGTTTGAAACTAATTTTTGGTCCACTTTTTGACTTTAATTTCGCACACTGCTTTCGAAAATGAAAAGAAACAAAAAAAGCAACGAAACAAACAAACATGTGCGTACGTGTGTTATAAGCTGAGGTAAGATGGTTTAAAAGCATTCAACAACACCAAAGATCCCGACCACCAAGTCATATCAGACATTTAAATGCTTACTTAGTTCATAGTCAAGTACATTGTTACACTGGTTTCATTTAGCTCGTTACATTTAGAAAGTTTCTAATATAAAAGCCCCCGATGTTTTGTCAGTTGTAAGCAAAAAAGTATATAACACGCAAATTGAGAGTAAAAGCTGAAGCTGCAAATAGAATCTGCAAAACAAACATGTTCCGATGCGTAGAATTGTCCCAGTAAAACATAAACAATAAAAGAAACTCAAGGTCTAGTGTGTTTTCATGTCTAGGCGTGTTCGAAGTTTTCTTACCTGCTTGCTATGGTGTAGTGAGTTAAGAAAGTTTGGAGGATGCATGCATGTGGAACATTACGGCACTCAGCAGTGTATTCATACCCCGACTTTTATAAACTAATGTGTAGGTACTGTTTACATCCAGAGCCTGTATACCTGCACCCTAATGTCCAGGTACTGTTTGCCTGTATACCTGCACCCTAATGTCCAGGTACTGTTTGCATCCAGAGCCTGTATACCTGCACCCTATACAACCATCACAACACACGATAGCAGCTCTTCCACACGTCGTCGTCGTGTATGTCCAGATGTCCAGCAGCTTTCGTGACGTGATGTTCCGTGACGTGATGTTCCGTGTCGTGATGTTCCGTGTCGTGATGTTCCGTGTCGTGATGTTCCGTGTCGTGATGTTCCGTGTCGTGATGTTCCGTGTCGTGTAGTTTTCTTATATTGTCACGTCATTCTGGCATCTTGCTTGTCACCGGTCTCAGGCAGACGGAGAATCTTAGAGACCCCCCCCCCTCGCTATGATAAGGGAGATAATGTCGACCCGATAGTTCCCCTCTTGTATTGGATTAGAGATGAACATTCAAGTCTCGCTCCGTGACTTCTTTTCTGTACTTGTTCGTAGGTCACCTTGGTGCTCCGTGGGTCACCTTGGTGCTCCGTGGGTCACCTTGGTGCTCCGTGGGCAATGTTGGTGCTCCGTAGGTCACGTTAATACCACAGATGTCCTCTGTCGCATGTCCTGTTCCATAGGTCCTGTAGCGCAGGTCCTCTAGCATGTTGAGCTGACTATAACCTAGGACGTAACGAGGACTTACCTGTGAGCTGAAAGAGCAGACAACAAGGTGCGACTCACCTGGGTGCATACACTTATACGGCTTCTCGCCGGTGTGGGTACGGATATGCTGCTGCAGGTGGCTGAGCTGGGTAAATTTGCGCTCACAAATCTCACACTTATACGGCTTGAGTCCCGAGTGGATGCGTGCGTGCTGGGAGAGATAGGACGAGTTGGCAAAGCTCTTAGAGCAAGTGGGGCATTTGTAAGGCTTGGGGTCTTGTTTGTGGATCTGTTGGCAGTGAATCAACATGTCTGACTTTGTAGTGAACACCTGAAACACAAAGTTGGTACACGTTGGTAACAGTTGGTACACATTGGTAACAGTTGGTACACATTGGTAACAGTTGGTACACATTGGTAACAGTTGGTACACATTGGTAACAGTTGGTACACATCTGGTAACAGTTGGTACACATTGGTAACAGTTGGTACACATTGGTAACAGTTGGTACACATTGGTAACAGTTGGTACACATTGGTAACAGTTGGTACACATTGGTAACAGTTGGTACACATTGGTAACAGTTGGTACACATTGGTACACATTGGTACACATCTGGTACACATTGGTAACAGTTGGTACACATGTGGTAACAGTTGGTACACATTGGTAACAGTTGGTACACATCTGGTAACAGTTGGTACAAATTGGTAACATTTTGTACACATTGGTAACAGTTGGTACACATTCGTAACAATTGGTACACATCTGGTAACAGTTGGTACACATTGGTAACAGTTTGTACACATTGGTAACAGTTGGTACACATCTGGTACACATCTGGTAACAGTTGGTACACATTGGTAACAGTTTGTACACATTGGTAACAGTTGGTACACATTGGTAACAGTTGGTACACATTGGTAACAGTTGGTACACATTGGTAACAGTTGGTACACATCTGGTACACATCAATAACAGTTGGTACACATGTGGTACACACCGGGTACACATCTCAATGAAGTGTGCACACATTTTATTTTTGTTTTTAAGACTGTGCTGTCATTACTTCGTAACTCGCCACACTACATATGATTATTTTAACCGAGTAAAGTAAAGTTGTTTTCACACCACAAAATTTGATAATTCAACTTAACTAAGTATCAATATTTTAACCATACTAATTATAATTAATTTTAAAAATTATTAATGATCAATCTGTGTGATTATTTTAAACTAATTATGATTATTTTATTTTGTTTTCGTTTTTGGCACAACACTGATTTTGCCACTTGGAAAATACATTTAAATTTGAATTTCTGTTTGAAATGTATTTTAAAATTAGCTACTTTACGAAGATGAAATGGTTCAGTCGTAAACTGATTAAATGTACTTTATTATTTTTTTTACTATATTTTTAAAATCTTCCTGTTATGTTTGAAGGGTTTTCAACATGTTTTTATTCTGAAAAATGCTCTCGCTCACGCTAATTTTAAAATACATTTGAAAAAAAATAATTAAATCATCGAAATGATCGATGTCTGAAGTCGACGTGTGGTGTGTGAATGTCTTAGACCCGGTGTGAATGTCTTAGACCCGGTGTGGTGTTTGAATGTCTTAGACTCGGTGTGGTGTGTGAATGTCTTAGACCCGGTGTGGTGTTTGAATGTCTTAGACCCGGTGTGGTGTTTGAATGTCTTAGAGCCGGTGTGGTGTTTGAATGTCTTAGACCCGGTGTGAATGTCTTAGACCCGGTGTGGTGTTTGAATGTCTTAGACTCGGTGTGGTGTGTGAATGTCTTAGACCCGGTGTGGTGTTTGAATGTCTTAGACCCGGTGTGGTGTTTGAATGTCTTAGAGCCGGTGTGGTGTTTGAATGTCTTAGACCCGGTGTGAATGTCTTAGACCCGGTGTGGTGTTTGAATGTCTTAGACCCGGTGTGGTGTTTGAATGTCTTAGACCCGGTGTGAATGTCTTAGACCCGGTGTGGTGTTTGAATGTCTTAGACTCGGTGTGGTGTTTGAATGTCTTAGACCCGGTGTGGTGTTTGAATGTCTTAGACCCGGTGTGGTGTTTGAATGTCTTAGAGCCGGTGTGGTGTTTGAATGTCTTAGACCCGGTGTGGTGTTTGAATGTCTTAGAGCCGGTGTGGTGTTTGAATGTCTTAGACCCGGTGTGAATGTCTTAGACCCGGTGTGGTGTTTGAATGTCTTAGACCCGGTGTGGTGTGTGGATGTCTTAGACCCGGTGTGGTGTTTGAATGTCTTAGACCCGGTGTGGTGTTTGAATGTCGTAGACCCGGTGTGGTGTTTGAATGTCTTAGACCCGGTGTGGTGTTTGATTGTCTTAGACCCGGTGTGAATGTCTTAGACCCGGTGTGGTGTTTGAATGTCTTAGACTCGGTGTGGTGTTTGAATGTCTTAGACCCGGTGTGAATGTCTTAGACCCGGTGTGGTGTTTGAATGTCTTAGACCCGGTGTGGATGTCTTAGACCCGGTGTGGTGTTTGAATGTCTTAGACTCGGTGTGGTGTTTGAATGTCTTAGACCCGGTGTGAATGTCTTAGACCCGGTGTGGTGTTTGAATGTCTTAGACCCGGTGTGAATGTCTTAGACCCGGTGTGAATGTCTTAGACCCGGTGTGGTGTTTGAATGTCTTAGAGCCGGTGTGGTGTTTGAATGTCTTAGACCCGGTGTGGTGTTTGAATGTCTTAGACCCGGTGTGGTGTGTGAATGTCTTAGACCCGGTGTGAATGTCTTAGACCCGGTGTGGTGTTTGAATGTCTTAGACCCGGTGTGGTGTTTGAATGTCTTAGACCCGGTGTGAATGTCTTAGACCCGGTGTGGTGTTTGAATGTCTTAGACTCGGTGTGGTGTGTGAATGTCTTAGACCCGGTGTGGTGTTTGAATGTCTTAGACCCGGTGTGGTGTTTGAATGTCTTAGACCCGGTGTGAATGTCTTAGACACGGTGTGAATGTCTTAGACCCGGTGTGGTGTTTGAATGTCTTAGAGCCGGTGTGGTGTTTGAATGTCTTAGACCCGGTGTGGTGTTTGAATGTCTTAGACCCGGTGTGGTGTTTGAATGTCTTAGACCCGGTGTGGTGTTTGAATGTCTTAGACCCGGTGTGGTGTTTGAATGTCTTAGACCCGGTGTGGTGTTTGAATGTCTTAGACCCGGTGTGGTGTTTGAATGTCTTAGACTCGGTGTGGTGTTTGAATGTCTTAGACCCGGTGTGGATGTCTTAGACCCGGTGTGAATGTCTTAGACCCGGTGTGGTGTTTGAATGTCTTAGACCCGGTGTGGTGTTTGAATGTCTTAGACCCGGTGTGGTGTTTGAATGTCTTAGACCCGGTGTGGTGTTTGAATGTCTTAGACCCGGTGTGGTGTTTGAATTTCTTAGAGCCGGTGTGAATGTCTTAGACCCGGTGTGGTGTTTGAATGTCTTAGACCCGGTGTGGTGTTTGAATGTCTTAGACCCGGTGTGGTGTTTGAATGTCTTAGACCCGGTGTGGTGTTTGAATGTCTTAGACCCGGTGTGGATGTCTTAGACCCGGTGTGAATGTCTTAGACCCGGTGTGGTGTTTGAATGTCTTAGAGCCGGTGTGGTGTTTGAATGTCTTAGACCCGGTGTGGTGTGTGAATGTCTTAGACCCGGTGTGAATGTCTTAGAGCCGGTGTGGTGTTTGAATGTCTTAGACCCGGTGTGGTGTTTGAATGTCTTAGACCCGGTGTGGTGTTTGAATGTCTTAGACCCGGTGTGGTGTTTGAATGTCTTAGACCCGGTGTGGTGTTTGAATGTCTTAGACCCGGTGTGGTGTTTGAATGTCTTAGACCCGGTGTGGTGTTTGAATGTCTTAGACCCGGTGTGGTGTGTGAATGTCTTAGACCCGGTGTGAATGTCTTAGACCCGGTGTGGTGTTTGAATGTCTTAGACCCGGTGTGGTGTTTGAATGTCTTAGACCCGGTGTGAATGTCTTAGACCCGGTGTGGTGTTTGAATGTCTTAGACTCGGTGTGGTGTGTGAATGTCTTAGACCCGGTGTGGTGTTTGAATGTCTTAGACCCGGTGTGGTGTTTGAATGTCTTAGACCCGGTGTGAATGTCTTAGACACGGTGTGAATGTCTTAGACCCGGTGTGGTGTTTGAATGTCTTAGAGCCGGTGTGGTGTTTGAATGTCTTAGACCCGGTGTGGTGTTTGAATGTCTTAGACCCGGTGTGGTGTTTGAATGTCTTAGACCCGGTGTGGTGTTTGAATGTCTTAGACCCGGTGTGGTGTTTGAATGTCTTAGACCCGGTGTGAATGTCTTAGACCCGGTGTGGTGTTTGAATGTCTTAGACCCGGTGTGGTGTTTGAATGTCTTAGAGCCGGTGTGGTGTTTGAATGTCTTAGACCCGGTGTGGTGTTTGAATGTCTTAGAGCCGGTGTGGTGTTTGAATGTCTTAGACCCGGTGTGGTGTTTGAATGTCTTAGACCCGGTGTGGTGTTTGAATGTCTTAGACCCGGTGTGGATGTCTTAGATCCGGTGTGGTGTTTGAATGTCTTAGACCCGGTGTGAATGTCTTAGACCCGGTGTGGTGTTTGAATGTCTTAGATTCGGTGTGGTGTTTGAATGTCTTAGACCCGGTGTGGTGTTTGAATGTCTTAGATTCGGTGTGGTGTTTGAATGTCTTAGACTCGGTGTGGTGTTTGAATGTCTTAGACCCGGTGTGAATGTCTTAGACCCGGTGTGGTGTTTGAATGTCTTAGACCCGGTGTGGTGTTTGAATGTCTTAGACCCGGTGTGGTGTGTGAATGTCTTAGACCCGGTGTGGTGTTTGAATGTCTTAGACCCGGTGTGGTGTTTGAATGTCTTAGACCCGGTGTGGATGTCTTAGACCCGGTGTGGTGTTTGAATGTCTTAGACCCGGTGTGAATGTCTTAGACCCGGTGTGAATGTCTTAGACCCGGTGTGGTGTTTGAATGTCTTAGAGCCGGTGTGGTGTTTGAATGTCTTAGACCCGGTGTGGTGTGTGAATGTCTTAGACCCGGTGTGAATGTCTTAGACCCGGTGTGGTGTTTGAATGTCTTAGACCCGGTGTGGTGTTTGAATGTCTTAGACCCGGTGTGGTGTTTGAATGTCTTAGACCCGGTGTGGTGTTTGAATGTCTTAGACCCGGTGTGGTGTTTGAATGTCTTAGACCCGGTGTGGTGTTTGAATGTCTTAGACCCGGTGTGGTGTTTGAATGTCTTAGACCCGGTGTGGTGTTTGAATGTCTTAGACCCGGTGTGAATGTCTTAGACCCGGTGTGGTGTTTGAATGTCTTAGACCCGGTGTGGTGTTTGAATGTCTT